TCCACCTGTGGCTTTACTCCCAAGTTGACCCTTGTTCCTTAGCTGTTCCCTTCTCCTGGCAGCTGTATGCATGCGCACAGTGGGAACAGGCTCCAGCTGCTCTTCTGCCCTACTGATGTCCAATTCCAAAGGCAGCTGATAACTGTCGGACTGTCCTGGCCCCATCTCTGACTCCGACGCAGAGCCCTTGTCAGGGCCTTCTCCAGACTCCAGGACTGGCCCGGGTTCCTCCCCAACCTCCTCACTGTCCATGTCTGCCGCCAGCACTGCTGGCGGGCCACAACATATCCCCATTATTCTGCCCTGGAAACCATGAATGATGGCTTAGTATGTGTTTGTTTCTATCTGGGCAACTTGGTCTATCCAAATATGGAAAGGAGCATACTGCAGAATGCTTTACCTAATATACAAAACAGCCCAGGTTTGAATCCCAGAAGGGTATGGCTAGCTGATGAGATATTGATCTCTAGACTAGTCTCCCTTTATTTCTTTGTCAGTAAATATACATTTGACACAAGATGGCTTAGTATCTTCTGTTAAACTAGCCAACAGCTGTTTCCTGAACAAGCCACAGTTAGGCTTAGTGGAATGTGGGTAACCAGCCTCTCTCTTTTTCTCTCGCTCTCCTTCATCCCTGACATCCATTTAGCCCTTTCGCTCTGCGGATGGTGAACGACCAGCTGATGCTGCTTGAAAGGACATTTATGAACCCGAGAGCTTTTCCAGACAAGCATTATTACAGGTAACTCACTCCACCGCAAACACACCTGGGTTTTTTTCCCCATTTAGTCAGGCTGAGCCTCCCTAAGGTTGGAGTCTGCCCAACTCCAAGGATTAGTAGCCCATTGCTACAAGTAAGCTCAAAAAAGTCAAGTTCTCCTGCAATCTGAAATTGGATGTCCTTTCTTCTTCTTCTTTTCTTAATCCTCTTTTCCTTTCCTTCTCCTTCCTCCTTTCTTTTTCTAATTCCTCCTGATTTTGATTTTTCTAATTGCTTCCCCTTTTCTTTCCTCTTTTCTTTCATTCTTCTGTTCCTTCATCACTCACTCTCTTCCTTTTTTCTTTTCTTTTTTCTTCCCTTTTATTCCTTCTTCCCTCCTCTCCATCCTCCCTCTCTCTTTCCCTCCCTCCCTTCTTCCCTCCCTCCCTCCCCTCCCTCTTTTCCTCCCTTCCTTCCTTCTTCCCTCCCTTCCTCCCCTCCTTTTCCTTCCTCCTTCCCCTCCCTTTTCCTTCCTTTCCTTCCTTCCTTCCTTCCTTCCTTCCTTCCTTCCTTCTTTCCTTCCTCCCTCCCTCCCCTCCCTCTTCTTCCCTCTCTTCCTCCCTTACCTCTTTTCCTTCCTTCCTTCCTTCCTTCCTTCCTTCCTTCCTTCCTTCCTTCCTTCCTTCCTTCCTTCCTCCCTCCCTCCCTCCCTCCCTTCCTTCCTTCCTTCCTTCTTCCTTCCCTCCCTCCCTTCTTCCCCTCCCTTTTTCTTCCTCCCTCTCTTCCTCCCCTCCCGCTTTTCCTTCTCCCCTCCCTCCCTCCCCCTCTATAATTTTGATGGGATCTACAGAGTTTTGAGCGAACTGCCATAGCTGCCATCTTGACTTTCTTTGACCCTGCACGATAGATGTCCCAGGCTGCCCTCCAGTAGAACCAGGCGATAAGAATTAGCGTGTATTGTTGCCTTTGAACGCAATTTGCATCAGGATCCCTCTCCTTCTGTTCCTGCAGCCACGTCATCTGGGCCTCCCGCTCGTCTTCCGTGGCTACCTTCCCCGGCCTGGCCGACGCTGTGGCTGCAGCCAAAGACCAGGACGAGTGGGACCACGTCCATAAACACCTGACGGTAGTTATCCAAGCGGTGGAAAATGCGGCCTCCTTCCTTGAACCCGTGGCCGAATGACCCTGCCTCATCGTGGCTCCCTGGGGAAGCCTTGATTGTGACAAGCCAGCTTTACGTCTTTGGAAGAAATAAAAGCTTCGCACTTTATAAACTTTTTTTCTGAGCGTTGGACGCGATTCTGACCCGGGCTTCCCAAAATCAGGAAGCAGATTCCTCGTCCCAGCTAAACCCCTTTTATTTAGGCTAATGTGAATCCCTTTCATTCACATCCAGCAAAGTCCCCGCAACCAGTCTTTCAAGAGTGATTTACAATCACAGACCTTTATCAGGCTTGGAGAGTTGCCAGGCCAATAGCTTCCAAACGCCACGCTGTAGCAGACAATACTTGGCAAGGAGCAGCGGTGGGATTCAGTTTTTTTTACTACCCTTTCTGTGGGTGTGGCTTGGTGGGCGTGGCTTGGTGGGCATGGCAGGGGAGGAAGGATATACTGCAAAATCCCCCTTCCCTCCTCACCCCACTGACCTGCTTTCCAGCTCCATTCTCCTGTGCAGGGCAATCAAAGAAGACCCAACCGATCAGCTGGGACTCAGGAGGCAGAGAATAGATGGGGGCGGGGCCAGTCAGAGGTAGCATTCTCCGAACTACTCAAAATTTCCACTACCGGTTCTCTAGAACTGGTCAGAACCGGCTGAATGCCACCTCTGGCAAGGAGTCACGAATAAATCTTCATCCTCATTAAATGAACTAATTGTCTCCTGCCAACACCCCTCCCCTTTCACTCCTCTTTATTCCCTATGGGAGGGGCCATTCACCTTCCACCTGTACCTTTACTCCTGAGTCGACCCTTGTTCCTCAGCTGTTCCCTTCTCCTGGCAGCTCTGTGCATGCGCGCACTGGGAACAGGCTCCAGCTGTTCTTCTGCCCCACTGATCTCTGACTCTGAAGGCAGCTGATAACTGTCGGACGGCCCTGGCCCCATTTTTGCCTCCGACACAGAGCCTTCGTCAGAGCCCTCCCCCGACTCCAGGACTGGCCCACGTTCCTCCCCAACCTCCTCACTGTCCAAGTCTGCCGCCAGCTCCGCTGGCCACTGGTGGCCCACAACACTTGGGCTTTGCACTGAGCAATACAAAACCGTCCTGTAAGGTAGGCTTTGGGATCGTACTGCAGGCGGACTCTTCCCCTTCACGGATCCATCTGTAGGGCTTCTTGGGCAACAATTGAGGAAGTTGATTGTGATTGTGACCTTGGGTTTAGCCTAGGCTCTGGGATTTCTTTGTGATGTCAGGCAAGAAGCGAGTAGCACTAACCAAAGTCAGTTGCATCCTGCCAATTTTCCAGGCCTTTATTTTCTGAGGTTGCATGCAGTTCTCGACTTACAACCTTTTGTGACCATTCAAAGATACAATGGCACTGAAAAAAAGGGACTTATGACTGTTTTTCACACTTACGACCATTGCAGCATCCCCATGGTCACGTTAACAATTGTAACATTGAACAGTCACTAAATGAACTGTTGTAAGTCAAGCCTTACCCCTATGTAAGGATTTATTTACGTAATTTATGGTTTTCTGTAAATATTTACATAAATATTAAATGTTTATGTAAGTATTTAAGTAACACTTAGAATATTGCATCCACTTCTGGTTGCCAAGATCCCAGAAAGATGTTGAGACTCTGGCAAGTGTGCAGAAAAGAGCAATAAAAATGATTAGGGGACTGGAGGCTAAAACATACGAAGAACTGTTGTAGGAATTGGGGTTGTCTAGTGAAAAGGGACGCGATGACTCAGTGGCTAAGACGTTGAGCTTGTCGATTGGAAAGGTCAGCCATTCGGCGGTTCGAATCCCTAGTGCCACATAACAGAGTGAGCTCCCCGTTCCTTGTCCCAGTTGTGCCAACCTAGCAGTTCGAAAGCCTGTAAAAATGCAAGTAGGAAAATGGGGAACATTTAGGTGGGAGGGTAACAGCCTTCTGTGCGCCTTTGAAGGCGTTTAGTGATGCCGGCCACATATGACCACAGAGACCTATTTGGACAGCGTTGGCTCTTTGGCTTCGTAACAGAGATGGGCACTGCCCTCTGGAGCCAGAAAACAACGAGCACGCGTGTGCAAGGGGAACTTTTACTTTTCTATTTAGTCCAGTGAAGAATAGGACCAGAGGTGACATGATAGCAGTAATCCAGTATTTAAGGGACTGCCCCAAAGAAGAGGAAGGGGTCAACTTATTATCCAAAGCACCAGAAGGCAGGATGAGAAACAACAGGTGGAAGCTAATCAAAGAGAGAAGCAAGCTGGAAATAAGGAGGAATTTTCTGGCTGCGAGAACAATCAACCAGGGGAACAGAAGTTGCCCTCAGAAGTTGTGGGAGCTTCATCACTGGAGGTTTTTAAGAAAAGACTGGACAGACACCTGTCTGGAATGGTATAAGGCTGTGATAACGAACCTATGCCACGTGTGCCAGATGTGGCACGCAGAGCCATTTCCCTCAGCACGCCAGAGTTCGCCCGGAAGAGTCCTACTGCGCATGCGTGCGTCCGCTGCCACCCAACAGCTGATTGTCGGGTATCTGGCGTGCATGCATGGGGGGGCGTGGGAGACACTCGCACAGGCACAGAGATGCACAGTGCATGCTGGGGGTCATGGGTGCATAAGCAGAGATGTGCGGTGTGCAGAGGGATCGTGTGCACCTGCGCAAATGGACGGCATGCAGGACAGATCGCGCACGCATACGCAAATGGATGGCGCACGGCAAGGGGATTGGGGCAGGGGCGTGGCGGGGGCAGCACACATTGCCTTCCAGGTGCTGGCTTGCCACTGCTTGAGCAGGGGGGGTGGACTAGAAGACCTCCAAGCCCCCTTCCAACTCAGAATTTAACAGAACGTTAAATGTGCCTAGTTGTCTAGTGGCCATAAGGCAGCCACATAACTCGGGGAGGGAGAGCAGCTATTGGAACTTAGGAATGGGTCATGAGTACTTTTTTTCCAGGTCCGTCATAACTTTAAATAGTCCCTAAGAGGCCGGTTGTAACTCAAGGACTCCCTGTAAATGTCCCCCCCCCCCCCCCCCCTTGCATTCAAAGGCGAAGCCCCTCCCTTGATTTTCACCGGCCGAGGCATTCAAAGCAGCCCAGGCCTCACAGCGAAGAAGTGACCACCGTTTGACAACATGGCAACGTTTATGCAGTTTAATCTTCACAACTATTTCGGAAGGGAGGGACAGAGAACTACAGGGGAACCCTTGGCGGAAGCTGCGCTAAATTCCATGTTTTGCCCCCAGGAGAATTTGGGGGCTTTTGCATCTAAAGCGATTGCCAGGCAATGAGGGAACGAAAGCGAGAGACGTCAGAAGGAATGGCCGAAGTGTCTGGACGGAAAACTCAGCAGGTGATGGATATCCAATGAGTCTTCGGACTGGGAATCATCCCAAAACACCACCGGCTCGCAGTCCTGCCTTATCACGGTGAAACTTCTTCTCCCGGCCTCGAGGAACATGTAAACTCTGCATTTAAATATCTGGAAATTTGGGGAGACAGTAGAGGAAGGGGGAAATGAGTTAGAACGGGGGGGGCGTGTACCAAACTCCAGGCCCCCGGCCGGCTCATGGGGTACTTAGATCTGGCCCACAGAGATGCTCTGGAACGGGGTCCCCAACCTTTCAGACCTCAGGGACCACTCAATTCATAACTGCAAAGCCTGCGGACCACAAATATGATCTGCCTAATGAGCAGCTGAGTGGGCCTGGCTAGGTGGTCATGTGACTGGGTAGGTGTGGCCAACTCGATTTCACTCACGTCGAGGGGGGGGCCTCGCTGGCCTCTAGAGGCCCCGCCGCCGCCGCCAGCCACTCCTCCCCTGCCCGCCTGGGCTCCTTAGGGCCCCAACCGGAAGCAGTTGCTGGAGTTAAGCACTGCCCTAGGTTTGCCATCTTGGCCTTCTGCCATCATGGGCCCCCATTCCCATCTAGGGCACCATTTCTACAAGCATTCAGTTGATCCTCCTGACGCTTGGGGGACCGATGATCCTGGTTTGTTTACAACTGAGGTCTTTCGTTCTAGTCGGGCTTCTTGAAGGTTCTTTCCTCGGGAATTTTTCAGTCTCTTTACCGCAAAAGATCCTGGGATTCTCGCCTTGCCCGAAGCGGGTCATGCAAACGGAGAGAGCTATGACGCAGACTTTACGGACTGCAAAGGGACAACAGCCAGGGGTGCGCTCCCCAAAATTTAGCAACTGGTTCTCTGCCCGGTTGCTGGGTGGGTGTGGCCATGGTGGGTGTGGCCTAATTGGCCTCCTGCACCACCCTGGCCTGGGGGTGAAAACAGACCGTGGGGGGACTCCTGGGAGGAGTGGGGTGGGCGGGGCCAGCCAGGGGGTGGGAGTTGCCGGTTCGCAGAATCAGCCGTAAAATTAACAACCGGTTCATCTGAACTGGGGCGAACTGGTAGCATCCCACCCAGTGGTAGGATTCAAAAATTTTTTTTTTACTATCGGTTCTGTGGGCAAGGCTTTGTGGGCGTGGCTAAGTGGGCAAGGCCATGTGACTGGGTGGGCGTGGCTTTTCTTCTTCTTTGGCAGCCACCTCCCCCACCTGTTTTGGGGCCTTCTGGGCCTCAGGCAGGCCTCTGGGGGGCCCTTTTTTCTCCCAGAAGGCTCTCCTGGGGCTCAGGAACCTGGAGCACTCCCCAGCTCCGTTTTGGGGCTCCCCGAAGGCTCCCCGAAGGGGCTCAGGAAGGCAAAAAAAATGGAGGGGAGGACTGCACCCCCCCTCCATGTTTTCCCTTTCCTGGGCCTCAGCAAGGGGAATCCCGGCACAGCTGATTGTCGGAAGGGGGGAAAAAACGAAACCCCTTAAGAGGGGAGCGTCAGGCGGAGGGCGTGTGAGTGAGCACTGGGCGGGCGGGGCAAGTGAGCCAGCGGCCACCAGGTAACCGGGTTGGGGGGCGTGGCCAGCCAGAACTTACGGCTGGTTCGGTGACCGAGGCCAAGTCCTTGGTGCGAACCGGCTGAATACCACCACTGATCCCACCCCTGACGACAGAGTACCTAGATGGACAAACTTGGCAATGCACAACCCAGTTGTGGGCTGCAAATCTTACCTTCTGCTCGTGCTTTGGCATGGCCACGCAAGGAACCACTTCTGTGGCGAAATCGCGATCGTACCACGGGATTGAAAATTTTTGCCCTTCTTCTTTGGTACAGTTGGTGTTCACCAAAAATTGCGTGAAAACCAGGATGGTGCCAGTGGCGCGCTGCAAGAGGAATGACAGAGTTAGAAGGGACCTCGGAGGTCTTCTAGTCCAACCCCCTGCTCAAGCAGGAGACCCTGTACCATTTCAGACAATCTCATCTTGAAAGCCTCCAGCGCTTCCGGAAGGCAACTGGTCCGCTGGTGAATTGTCCTCATGGTCAGCAAATTTCTCCTTAGTTCTAGGTTGCCTCTCTCCTGAATTCTAGGGACCCTGGAGGTCATCTACACCACCCTGCTGCTGCCCAATGGAGAAATCCTCAGACTACCTCAGGCAAAGAATGATCACGCAGCAGGAGAACACGGGTCTCCAGACTGAGGGAAACAGACTCAGCAGTCATGAAGTGAAACAGTAAGCGCTGAGCCGCCGTAGCGCAATGGTTAGAGCGCAGTACCTCAGGCGACATCTGCTGACTGTCGGCTGCCTGCAATTTGGCAATTTGAATCTCACCAGGCTCCAGGTTGACTCAGCCTTCCATCCTTCCAAGCGGGGTAAAATGAGGAGCCAGATTGTTGGGGGCAACAGGCTGACTCTGCAAACGGCTTAGAGAGGGCTGGAAAGTATTGTGAAGTGGTATATAAGTCTAAGGGCTCTTGCTCTTGCTATCTTATAAAATAAGTTCTTGCAGAGTTGGCCAGCTATGTGGGCACATAGAGGAATACATTTCTCCCGGTTTTTTATTCCCTCCACCCAAACCACAACCCCCTCTCTGGCAGCCCCTTTTGACAAAGACCACAAGCTTGCAATCTTCCCTAGAACGCCCGTTTTTCCATGAATTTCCTCCCCCCATGCTTAATCTGTTTCCCCACTCTTTGCCCAGTTCCCTTTCTTCCAGACTACCTTTTGTCCCCCTTTCTAAAAAAAGTTCTTTATCTATGTTTCTTGTTTCCTTACAACCCTTGCAGCATAAACATAATAAATTGAGGCAAGCGGTTCATTTCTCTACCATGTACTACTAGACTGAGTGGTTAAAACGGTTAACTAATCTGCTTGCCCAAGCTGAGTTGCTTATCAGAATTGCAGACACTTCCTGTTTTCCAGTCCTTAATGTCCCAATGTCCTATTGAACTTTCAAACCCGCATTCTCTCAAAAATTGTGTTCTTTGCAAAAACAACGAACACTCTTTGAATGGTGTGGGAGTAGGAGTGGATTTCCAGAAGGAAAAATTGCAGGGTACAAGAACCATTTGCACCATTCAGGTGACCCTGAGGATACAGACAAACCTCCCAGTGGTCTCAACGACCCTCTAAAAGGATGCAAATGACCAGCTGCCTGCAAGGAGGATCAATCCTTCCTTTCCCCACTCTC